AGTCTCTGACCATCTCTTGTGCCATGTTGCCCATCTCTGACCATCTCCTGTACAATGTACCCAGTCCCTAACCATATCCTGTATCATGTCTGCAGTCTCTGATTATTTGTTGTATCATGTCTGTAGTCTCCAATCATCTCCTGTAACATGTCCCCAGTCTTTGACTATCTCCTGTACCATGTCCCCAGTCTCTGACCATCTCCTGTACCATGTCCCCAGTCTCTGACCATATCCTGTATCATGTCTGCACTCTCAAATCATCTCCTGTACCATGTCCCCAGTCTCTGACCATATCCTGTATCATGTCTGCACTCTCAAATCATCTCCTGCACCATGTCCCCAGTCTCTGACCATATCCTGTATCATGTCTGCACTCTCAAATCATCTCCTGTACCATGTCCCCAGTCTCTGACCATATCCTGTATCATGTCTGCACTCTCAAATCATCTCCTGTACCATGTCCCCAGTCTCTGACCATATCCTGTATCATGTCTGCACTCTCAAATCATCTCCTGTACCATGTCCCCAGTCTCTGACCATATCCTGTATCATGTCTGCACTCTCAAATCATCTCCTGTACCATGTCCCCAGTCTCTGACCATATCCTGTATCATGTCTGCACTCTCAAATCATCTCCTGTACCATGTCCCCAGTCTCTGACCATATCCTGTATCATGTCTGCACTCTCAAATCATCTCCTGTACCATGTCCCCAGTCTCTGACCATATCCTGTATCATGTCTGCACTCTCAAATCATCTCCTGCACCATGTCCGCAGTCTCTGATTATCTGCTATATCATGTCCGCAGTCTCCAGTCACCTCCTGTCCCCTGATAACAGAAGGGCTATAGCTCTGTATGAACCTGCGTCTGTGATGTAAACACTGCAGGGACCTGTGCACTGCACCCGCAGGGCGCTTATCTTGCGATGCTGCGCAGGCTTCAGCGCAAAACATTATTAAACGCACATTTTGTATTTGATTAATGTGCATTTATTATCATGTTGCAATAGGTGGACTTTGCCTTTAATGTCTCTTTCATGAATCATCTATGACTCCTTTCTATCACACAGAAAATATATGCAGATTTATTACAATGAATAATAAACCAGCAAGTCAGTATGTAGTGGATATGGTGAGTATCATACCGGCCAGAAAAAGAGAACCAGTCACAGGACAACCCACGTGATCAAACTGCATATTTATTGAGTTTTCCTTTAATGTCAGTACCTTTAGCAGTTTCCAGTTATGGGTAACGCAGTGATTTCTTGTACAAACACAGTATAAAACGTGTGTGTCTTCACTACACGCTAAGAATAAAAAATACATCTATAAATATAAGATTTAAATTACACAAAAAAAACTCCTAGAAAATATATTCTAACATTTTCTGACGGGAGCGAGGCTGCATTATTTCCCAAAGACATCTTGGCAGCCTCATCTTGAACTGTGGGGAACCCTTAAAGGAAATGTCCAATTTTTTAAGTAAAAGTTTCAAAAAGTACGATTGTACTCAGAAGTTTTCTCTTTGGAGGTCGTCACATACTGTACCAGTTCATCCTTCCTTTCAATTCAGCTGGAATTTTGATTGAAAAAAACATATTTGTCCTCAATTTAAAGGATAAGTACACTTTAAAAACAAAGTATTTGCCCCCTTCCCCTAACCCAGGGATGTCCAAACTCCGGCCCTCCAGCTGTGGTGAAACTACAAATCCCATGAAGCATCTCTCTCCGGGAGTCATGTCTGAGAATCTTGCAAAGCCTCATGGGATTCGTAGTTACACCACAGCTGGGGGGCCAGAGTTTGGACATCCCTGCCCTAACCTAACTCACTCTCCCCTTCTACACATGCATACTTACCTCGACCTGATGGAAGCAGTTCCGCTGTTGGCTTACATGCAACGGTGCAAGTCTTCACTGCCCTGGCCACGCCTGCACATTGCAGCCCAACAGAATTCCCGATGTCTCCCTTCCTCCATGGCCTCAGGACACAACCTTATAGAAGTCTATGAAGCTGTAATGCTCAGGAGCGGCCAAGGCAGCAAGCCCTAGTGCTCTGGATGTAAATAGCTTTTGGATTGAGATAAGTATGCAACCATGGGCGGTAAGGGGGGAGGTTAGGTCGGGGTAAAGGGGAAAAAACCCTTTAGGCCTCATTCACACTGTAATCGGCAGGTACGTACAGCTCCTAGGGTTGCCACCTGTCCAGGATTCACCCGGACAGTCCGGGTTTTGAATGCTCTCTCTGGGTTTCATGGCAGCAGAAACCCGGACACATCATGTCAGGCAGACATGGGCAACTAAAATTAAGATTGGGGCTACTGGCCCTGCACTAAAAATAGTCTCAAATGTGATATTTACATATGAAAGGGTGGCGCTATTTAGATATGAATAAGCCACGACTCATTCTCCCCAAATTTTTTTGTCGGTCACTAGAGTGTTCGGGTTTCGCTTGAAGAAAAGGTGGCAACCCTGACAGCTCCGTGCTGCGTGCACGGCCGTATGGAGCAGCTCCCAGGAAGGACAGGTGCTGCATGTGAGCCCCTGTCCTTCTCATTGGGATCACGCAGTCGTATGCCGCCCTACGCTCCGTGCGGGTGAGCGTACTCGTACGCTGACAGGATGGATCCTGCCTGCGTCTGAGCAAGGAAACACACACCCCTACGGACCTGCACTTCAGGTGAGCGTAGGGGGCGTACGGCCGCGTAGTCCCATAGAGAAGGGCGGGGGCTGCGTACAATCACACGCAGCACCTGTCCTTCCTGGGAGCTGCTCGGTATGTCTGTGCACGCAACATGGAGCTGTACGTGCCGGCCGATTACAGTGTGAAGGAGGCCTTTAGGTGCAATAATATATCAGAATAAAAATACCACACACATATTTGTTTTCTGGTTTTGGACAGAATGTTTCTGTTTTTTTTTGGTCAGAACTTCCATTTGTTTTTTCATTGCTGTCTAAGTCTCCACTGAGGAGATTCATACTCATGGATACCATCTGTTATGGTGACCATTCTATATGGGAGAGAGAAAAAAAGGGAAGCCTTTTATGAGGTCACCAAAACAGAAGTATAGAGGATATTTTCCAGTGGGAATCCCTGCTCGAGTGACAGGATTTCCCCTTTGGACTTGCTTCCCCAATGAGCCAGAGGAGCTCCATGAAAAATCCAAACTTGTAGGATGGGGGATGTGGGCATTCCCTACCCCATCACACAATGCAGTGGTTGGTGTCTCTGTGACCTATTTCCAGGTCCTTGTACAGTAACACGGAGGGTATGTCTAGCACTATTGGAACACCCACGTTCAGAAACATTTGTATATAGCCAGGATCATCAGGGGCTCCAGTGGAGCACTGGGAAGGTAGACAGGCACTGTAAAGATAATGGGGGGAATGTGGGGGGAGTGCGTTACTAAGCCCAGAGTCCAGTGCGTTACTAAGCCCAGAGTCCAGTGCGTTACTAAGCCCAGAGTCCAGTGCGTTACTAAGCCCAGAGTCCAGTGCGTTACTAAGGGTTCTGTGGCTCCTGGTGTTTTCTTTTCTGTGGGAAACGGGTCCAAATGGCTCTTTGACTGTTCAAGGTTGCTGACCCCTGACCTAAGACAACAATCACAACTTAAGAAGTCCCTATGACCACTTCTTCAAGAAGCGACAGTTCAGTTTTTTGCCCGGAGTTACGAGTCTTCTTTCCTGGAGTCAATTAAACCTCATTGATCAAAAACATTACACTAGCATCATAAATCCGTCGCAAATATATTCTGTGCAAGTTCAAACACACGCAATCGCTATGATGAATTCCCCCCAATGTGTTTGCCTTCACATTACACTATAAGGGCTTGTTCACACGATGTCCGGATTCTGTCCAGACCAGAACAGTTAGCTCCTGCACTAAAAACGCATCACAATGTATCCCTATGCGGTTTCTGGGCTCCGGTCCGCACCAGCGCAGTGCTTTCTGTTCCGGACCAGAAAAAATACTGCATGTCACATTTTTTTCTGGTCCGGAACTCGCAGAAACGCATACGAACGTGTCAAAAACGCAACTAAAACGCACCGGAAACTCACCGCACTGCAGCTAACTGAAAAAAAAAAGTGTATTCTTGCTCCAATGCCAATTACCTTTCCATAGACATACGAGTAAAGGAAAAAAATGTATCCGGGTGAGCTCGCAAATCCTCATAGAAACTCCAAAATTGACTCTTGGAATCCCTGAGCCTCAAGATCGGGTGTACCCAATAACGACGTCTCGTTGTCTGCACATTGCTGTAGCCAGCACCAACACCATGCCTACAAACATGGGGTACATGTCTGATCAGTGGCATAACAATCACCATAGCGACCCAGGCGGCAGCTATGGGGCCCTGTGATTTCTAGTTACGCCCCTGCGTCTGATCACCAGCTTTGTATACACAAAGGGAAGTACTCGTAAGGAGAGGCCAGAAGTGACCTCAGAGCAAGAATCTGCATACTGACAGCCCCCCTCCCCCAAAAAATGGAACGCGTCTGGAATTGCAACGCTCCTGCAGATCTGCTCCAGAAAATCGTGTGAACAAGCCCTAAATGTGTACTTGCAGAGGTCTCTTCCCATCCCACTTCCCCATATACAAATAACTTCCTGATCCTCATAACTGATATATCAATAACTGGAAGGCAAAGATGGCATTAGTGCTGCACTGAATCCAAAAAGTTCCATGTCATAACAATATGTTATTTGCAGCATTCGGGCTCATCTCTCTCAATGTTTTCTTGGCGTCTTCTAAGAAATCTTGAAATGCAGAAGGCACACTTGTGATTGTCACGTTGGAGAAGGCTGCACTTACAGTGGTAACTGAACTAATTCAGCAAAGAGGCTGATGTGCATAGTAAGTATTCAACAAACCGTTTCCTAATTACAATGGCCTTTGCCAAATAAAATCAGGTCTAGTCTTTTGTCAATAATGTAAAAAATGATTGTGTTTTGACAATGTATCCACTTTGCAGCAGCCATGTCTTCTACTTATCTTGTATACGTTGGCTGCTTGTGGTTCTCTCACTGAGCTGCTGCCTTTGCAGGCGTCACTACTGGTTCAGTCCTATTCGGTAAGCCTGTTGGAAATTGGCGTGCATCCAATAAGTCTTTATACTGCAGCTCGGGAGTGACCATTTGAACACAATGACTACGAATGTAGGGCTGGAGGTCCTTCCTTACGGCCCAGCCTAGGATTTTCTCCTGTCCGAACTGAAAGGGTTTAATGGCGTCCTCCTTAATGTTCTCTGCCCCTACGGGCTCCAAATCCTCAAGACAGAGTTCAGCTAACTGTTGTCTCCTTTCTCTCAATCTCATGACCTCATTATCCATCTTTTCTTTGCCGAACCGTTCCACCTTGTCCCAGAAGGTACGGTTAAAGTACTCGTAGATATACCAGTCTAGAGAATTCCATGCCCGAAGCTTTTTTACTTCCTCTGGTTCAAGTGGTCTGGAAAACCCGCGAATGTTGAGTTTAAAGGTGACCACGTCGTCCAGATTCCAGCACAGCTCTTCTTTCAGGAGAACCATTGATTCGTCAAAATATTCTGCAAGAAGAACCAACTTGAATATCCCATCCACCGCCCGCGCTCCAGATCTTGCCAGAGCCACTGTAAATGGAGCATTGGGATTAAACCCCAAATCAAACCATAAGAGGTTGCGTGCGTAGTGGTTGGATCGCTCTCCTTCTCTGTAGTAATATGATGGATGGGAAATAAAAGATTTGAAACTAGGTGCCTTCTTGAAGGCTGAAGACACTGAACGGTAGTAGGAGAAAGAAGATTCGGCCATGGTGGCTGGATCTCGGAGAATCGTGAAGTAGAAGGAGTCTGGAGGCATAACCTTCCGAACCTACAAAATAAAGAAAACCTTTTATGTTTGTGAAGCTTCTGATCAATCCAGGTCATGGTATAGCTACTGTGTTTCCCCGAAAATAAGACCTACCCTGAAAGTAAGACCTAGCACGATTTTTAAACATTCCTGTAATAAAAGACCTACCCCGAAAATAGGACCTAGTTTGGGGGTGGCCCAGAGAGCAACCAGAATATATGGCGGGGACGCTGCGCCGCAGCTCCCGCATGCCGCCCCTGTCACGAAATCAGAAGACGTCTGCCTCAGCCTTTGCTTAGAGATCTGCCGCCAGGCAGAAAACTACATTTCCCGGCGGGCAGCAGCACAGCAAGGAACGAATGGCCAGTGGGGTCGGAGGGAGGTGAGGTTACTGAGCAGTCCAGCCTGGCGACGAGAGAGGTGGCTCCCTGGCGGGGATCCCACAGAGAACTGTGGACAGCATCAGACAGAGAGGAGAGCTCCAGGACAGCTGCAGCCTGCAGATATTGTGACAGTATTTAAAATAAGACATCCCCCCGAAAATAAGACCTAGTGTGAATTTTCGGGGAGAAAAAAATATAAGACAGTGTCCTATTTTTGGGGAAACACGGTAGTGGCAGTAGGTCACATTAAGCTGGACTTGTTCTGTAATTTTGAAGGTCTGTGAAGGTTCTCATTCATCCTGGTCATAGTATAGCTAGTAGTAGTTAGTAACATTTAAGTCAGTGGTTCTCAACCTGTGTAACCTCAGGACCCACATTTGTCCTGTCATTACCTTGTGACCCAAGTCACACCTCACTGGAACGCACGGGATTACGGAACCAAGCATTCCGGCTCGGGCAATCGAACTGTGGGCAGGCGGTGGGTTTGGGGTGCCATTCAAATGAATGGCAATGCAACGCACCTCCTGCACTAGAATGTGCGGTAGGTGCGACTGAGTGGTACAGTGCGTTAATCACACAGGGCTGTGCGATTAACGCACTGTACTAGTGTGAATGGGCCTTCAAAAACACTGACAGACAATCTCACACATATACACACTCCCAAAAAAATGTAATTCTTTTTTCTTAAGATCCATCTAGTCTCCCTACCTTACGAGAACTGGAGTGGATCCTCAGCCTGGGGTCCAGTGTGGGGTGCTGTGCTGGAGCTCCATCTATATGTGCATTGCTTGTACAACCCCCTTGCTGGGAGCCAGAATGTGACGTCACTCTGGTCCAGGCACCTCTACAGGGCACACAAGGGAGCTGTAAGCAATGGACGTATGGATGGAGCTCCCTTGCGGCCATACCTCCAGCCCACCTCAAGCTGACACTCGGCGCCGCGCAACATATTTTGAATGGCTGCTCAGTGCAAGAACGGACAGTGCTGCGGTAGGGGGAGGCTGAGGAGCCTAAATTAGAATGGAAAAGTTATCTTTAAGAACTATCAGGAACTGGTTTGTGTGATAGTCAAGTTTGTTAAATCATATTTTAGCCAAACTGAAGTGGAGTGCACATACAGCAGTGACCTCTTGGACCAAAAAAGGTTTTCCACTATCAGACAGAAATTAGGAACCCAACCAATCTGCTGGTTCATTAGTAGCTCTGGGCAGCTCCATAGAAAGCTGTTGGACTTTGCTTCTTTGCCTTGGGAGCCCATTACTTTTTAATGGTTTTCTGAGACAAGGTTGTGAGGAGTCAAAAAAATTGTAAAGCCACTCCAGCCAATGATAACCCCCATGAGTAGGATTGTAATGGCTTCTGAGCATGGGCAACTGGCTTTCCACTTTTGATGTGAAAAGTGAAAACCTTTTATAAAGAATATCCAAAGCAAAAAAACCTTTTCCTTAGTTTTGAATAGAATATGGAAAGCTTAGCAACCTTGTTATGTAGGGATACACCAATTTTTCTGTATCGAGTACCGATATTTCTATTTCAGTACTCGCCGCTACCGAGTACTGATACCGGTACTTCCGGTAGCATGGAGCCGGCTTCCTGGGCAATCAGGAAGCCGGGCAGCGGGTCATTACCCACTGCCCGGCTTTTTGATTGCCCGGGAAGTCATCTCAATACTGTTTGGCCGACTTGATGCTGATTGGACGGGAAGCTGGCTTCCCAGCCAATCAGCATTGAGCTGGCTGTCTAACCCACTCAATGCTGATTGCCCGGGAAGCCGGCATACCAGCCAATCAGCATTGAGCCAGCTTCCCGGTCAATCAAGAAGCCGGGCAGCAGGTCATTACCCCTGTTGCCCGACTTCTTGATTGCCCGGGAAGTCGGCTCCATGCTATTTGGCCGGCTCCATGCTGATTGGCCGGGAAGCCAGCTTCCGAGCTGCTGTTTGGCAGTTCCGTGATTTGCGGTCCACGGGCAGAGAGCTCTGGATGCCTGTGCAGTCTGCTGGCGCTGTGATCTAGCCAGTGATGTCACAATCGACCAGAATCCAGAGATGCACAGGGAGAGCTGTCAGTGTGCGGCTGGTGAGTACTGCGCCCTGCTAGAGGGGAGCACCAGTCCGTCTGCATTGCTGTGTTTCTTAATGGCCAAATAGCATGGAGCTGGCTTCCCGGCCAATCCTAAATGGCCAAGAAGCCGGTTCCATGTTCCCTCACGGCACTGCTGCTCAGTGGACATCTCCCTTTGACCGGAAGTTCCGGTAACAGGATAAGTATCGGAGCATTGGGGCAAGTACCATTACTCGCCCAAATACTCGGTATAGGCACCAATACTGATACTAGTATCGGTGCATCCCTACTTATGTTGTTATTGCTGTCTGTATCGCCACTGGGAACATCTATTCTCTATTTGTCCTGGTGACCACTGTCAGCAGGACTGAAAGGAAGCACAAATACAACATTTGAGTTGCCAGCAAAACAAGAATAGAAGGAAAATCTTCCCATGGTGACACTTGTAGGGGAGAATTCTTCTCACTTCCTACTGTGTCTACGGGAGAAAAAGTGAAGGGAAAGCTGACTGATGGTACACAGGTGGCAAAAAAGGGCTTTGACCCTCCCCTACATTATCCTAAACTATATTAGAAACATGGTTTGGCTTTAGATACACTTTAAGTATAATCAATAATGAATTCTGATTGGTTATTAACAGCTGCATCACTTTTTTTTAAACTATGGAGTAGATCCGGTGACGTTCCTTTACCTCCGGGAGGTTGAAGCGCATATGGTGGCACAGGATGTCATACTGCGGCCTTTTCAGAGAGTTGAAGCCCTTCACCCGGCGAGAGTGGAAGAGGTTTGGGTAGCTGAACTGATATTTAAATGGAAAAGCAAATAATAAGCCATTCTTGTCCCCGTATCGGTGCAGGAGGTTCAGTATGGTGCTTCCAGCCGTCTTGTGAGTCTTCAGGAACACAATGTGCTTCTTAGGTTGACAAGTCCGTGGAGAAGATGGAGGCAGAGAAGATAAGAGCCGCAGGGCGGAGCTGTGAGTGGAACTGAAAATAAGGAAAGGGTGTTTAATAGCCATACTTCATTTACATGATTATATACTGTTCTATACATTACTATGTATCTATATTTATTAGAAAATGTAAGTTAAAGCTGAACTCTGGATCGGCTCGGTACACAGGCACAGTGTACAGAGCTGGTCCAAGTGGTTCTGTAGCATGTGATCAGCGTGATAACCAATTACAATGATCACATGCTAATGTGTACATTGTTGATCCCTCCCCTTCCTCTTACAACAGAGAAAGGAATGTAAACAGTAGTATTCCTGAATGAGAAATGAATAACCAGCAACTTCTGATCCATAGATTTATTTTCAGTGACTTCAGTGATCATTTATTAACCCCTACACCCCCCTTCATGTCCTACGCATCTAAACTCCAGCCTGTCTCTCATTGTTACTTGGATATTAACTCTTTACATCCCTTATTCTGCGCATTAAACCCTTCACCCCCCATATGTGATCTGTTCATTAACCCCTACACGTCCAGATCCCTCAATTAAGGACATGATGTGCTGTATCTAGAGCTCCAATAACTAGCTCCAAGTTTGACCTCCTCAAATAAAAACCCAGTGCTTAATTAGTGACCAGGGAGCATGGAGCCAGCTTCCCGGCCAATCAGGAAGCCGAGCAGCATGTAATGACTTGCTGCCCAGCTTCCTAAAACTGGAGGTTCGGGTAGCGGGCTAGGCATCAGAGCACTTGGGCGAGCCGAGTACGTGTACTCGCCCAAATACTCGGTATCGGCACCAATACTAGAATCTGTGCATCCCTAATTATAACATAGGCATGTTTGGTATCAAAGTGAATATGATTTACTCATACATTCAGGCAGATGCTTGTTATAAATGTAGGGTTATTATAAGTGGCATTATGGATTATGTGCAGAGTTTAAGAGCTGAGTTATATAAAAGGTCAGTTTTAGGTCAAGTAGAGCCAGACTCTAATGTGTATTGCTTCTAAATGGCTTTACGATGGCCAGTTATGAACAGAACACAGTCTGTTAGGAACTCTACTAGAGGTTTTATGACATGGCAATTTTACGACTGCTAATGGGTTTTATGACATCGGACTTATGTCCTGTGAAGGATGTCCTGACTGGAATGTTGTAAACTGATTCCATTAAGAGGTTTCTTGAATTCTAAGTACTAGAGGTGCACTTGAGAACATTGTTTGTTTACTATAACTACAACTATGAATGAACAGGAGGAGATGTAGATCACTTCCCTTTCATTAATAATTGAGAATATAGTCCACATACCATATCTTCAATTAACTACAAACACTCAGCGATCACTGATCACTGACTGCTTGTACCCGCTCTCCTCTCTGACACGCTGTCACAGGAGGCTGAGCGGGCAGAGCGGGGAGGAGAGCTCAGCCTCCTGTGACAGCGCGAGCTGTCTCCGCCCACACACCGCTCTGCCGGACTGTGATAGGAGGCTGAGCAGTGCGGGAGGAGAGACGCCAGCCGCTCACAGCGCTCTCCTCCCGCAGCGCTCGGCAGGCTTTAGTACTGCCGAGGCTAAGTACTGTTTTTGTCACTAACTCCCTTGCTCTAGTGCAGTGGTGTATTTTGGTTTTGTGCTGCCCTACGCAAGACTAAACTCGGGCACCCCCCTCCATCTAAATTTGCCCCACCCCTTCCTGTTTAGGACATTTAGCGCACACGTGGTCTCAGGAGAGCTGTGCATGGACTCAGGTGGGCTGCATGGGGTCTCAGGAGAGCTGTGCAGGGTTTATGGTGGGCTGTGTGGGGTCTCAGGAGGACTGTGCATAGTCCCTTTCCCTGTATACATGTGCTGCTCCTCTTACCTGCAGCTTAAAGTGCCATCAGTACCAACAAGATACATTGCAGTCCTTAGCCTGCTTCTGGAACATCCCGCCATCAAATCACATGCTATGGCTAGCGCCAAGCCACCCGCTGCTTCTTTTCCACCCCCATGTACAAAGCCAGCTGGACCGCATCTCACTGGACCCTCCCCTCCACCGGGCAGCTCTCTAATTAGGCAGCCGCACTTATGGCCTTGCGGCCGCCTAGTTTTCCTCATTAGGCAGCCGCCACTGCCCAGTATGCCCAAAGGCAAGTCCGGCCCTCTCCGCCTCATTGGTTTGGGGTGGCATTTTCTTCTGCCCCCCCCTGGAAAGTGCCGCCCCAGGCAAATGCCTAGCTTGCCTTGCAGTAGATAAACCCCTGCTCTAGTGTGAGCTGTTGTAATGGACTTTATGATGCTTTCTGACTTTAGGGTGATGCCGTGTTTCTTAGGAATCCCCCTTCTTCTCACCGAGTTTGGGGCTCTTCAGATCTCATTATCATCACACTGTTACAGCCAGGATATCCAGGAAAGGAACTTTGCAATAGATTTACAGTAAACAATTTAATTGAGAAAGCGAGGCACGATGCCAAACATACTGAAAAACTGATTTGGGGCAGGCTATGTGTGCCACTGCAAAATGTTGGCATTGTCACAATAGATTCTGTGGGCACCATGCTCACATGGCAGACTTTCCATTCCCTTCACATGCCTGTTCATGGTTTAGGATCCTCTTAAGGACAGTGAGTAAAGAAACAGGTTTAGTTCTGGAAACCCAGGCAAAGTTCGGGTTATAATTTAAAAATATGCTTGAACCAAAGTGATGGCCACTAATAAGATTATAAACTCAAACTGAACGTGACTGTTTGTGAACTAAAGTTTCGGACTGATTGGAGGCTAAATGGAACATTTCTGTTGCGGTAAACAAACACTAATCTGATTTATATAAACTGTTGACCCGAAATGTGGAGCAGAGTTTCCCACAGTAACTGATCACATTCCTCTTTAGTCTTACAAGAGAGTGAAAAAGGAAACCTAAATGTACGTAGACAATGGGTTCCACCATGGCTTTAGCTTTCCTATGTCAGACCATACGTGGCAAGTGTGCTGGTGTGAGTAGAGATGGTTTTGACAAGCACAAGTGAACGGATATCGGGGCTTATGTATGAAAAGAGTTCTATCAAGAAAATATTACATTCCCAAAGTAACCAATGGGCTAATAACTCTAATTCTTGTAATCCATCATTGTTATGAGCTATAAGAATTTTTGCCGGCTGTCAGCTGAAAGCCACTAACATCCCCCTGGCTATATTCCATTGTTCAGTCTTTTACCAGGTCCCCCCTTCCATGGCTAAGCCCCCTCGTTGGACTCCTCCCCCTTCCATGCCACAGGTAGTTCCCCTATTCACCAGACTCCGACCCTATTATACAGCAAGGAGACCCTTTTTTTTTATCAGACCCTTTTCACTTTTCCATAGCTAGACTCTCTTAGTATGCAGACCTCTCGTGTTATTTCACAGCTAGTTCCCCTAATTTACTAGGCCCCTCCCTGACTGTGGAGCAAGGCCCTCAAATTAACATATATAGTTATAAGACTATCAAATGCCTTGTTGGGTGGGAGTCATTCTGGAGAAGTGGGCATTCCTAGGCAGGCTTGATTGGCTAACAGACCCCCATAGGTTATGTCCACATGTGATGGTGAAATGAATGAAAGGGGTGGGCCAGGGACAGTCAAGCTGGGGATATCCTCCAGCTGACTTGCTACACCTTCTAATGCACTTTGTGAGAAGGTCACAGTGTCCAGTGAAATCACAGTACTCAACTTCATCCCAGGAGAGGAGTCGATACAACTGTGCAAGACTGAGGGGAAGGCCGGAGTTCAGCTTTAAGGTCTTTGTTAACTGCAAAAACCCAAGAACTCATATCCTACTTATATTCCCACAGTATTATGACCTGTCTGCCCCCAATGTATTCTTAGGAATGTTCCTCCACATCTGGACACAGTGCCCGAAGGTTTGGGAAAAATGTGAAGAATGGCAAATGTGTTCAGAAAATATATTAAGTGTGCCCCAAGGGGATGTTCCCTCCATCATCCATCATCAGGGAAAGGCAATCAGAAAAACTAGCAAGGTATTCGTTTTGCCATCTGCGTCACTGCAGAGTCATTTAAGGGGAACTGCTGCCTTGTTAACACTTTTAGATGCACGTGTAAAAGCTCAGCCTAAAATATATGAAGCCCTAGTCATTAGAATCTCACATAAGCTATAACATGGTAAATGTTTAATCTCTTATGTATACTTACACTGGTCCGGCTTGGCCCAATGTAAGTATATATATTTTTACCTGGTAGGGCCACGGGGATCCAGAAAAGAGCTGTAATAGCCACAGCTACTACGGCGCTTTACAGTAATCTTCTGGGTCCTCTACCGGTGAAGTGCTGAGCGACTTTCCTTCTGCTGTGGAAAGACAGGGAGTTGCCCGCTCGGCATAATGGCCATTCAGAGAACGCCTAGTATTTTTGTCAATGATTTCAAGGCATTCTCTGATTCGAGGAGGGGCTAATCATGACATCATCAACTCTCATCCAGAGAGCACCTAACATTCATAGATAAAAATACAAGGTGTTTGCTGAATGGCCGCTGTGCCGAGCGAGCGACCCTTGGAGTTTCACAGCAGAGGGGAAGTTGCTCAGCACAGTGGCCATTCAGCAATCACAATCTGCCCCTCGTCAAATCACAGAATGCTTTGGAATGATTGCTAAAAATACTAGGCATTCTCTAAATAGACACTGTGCCGATAGGGTTGCCACCTGTCCAGGATTCACCCGAACAGTCCGGGTTTTGAATGCTGTGTCCAGGTTTCATGGCAGCTGAAACCCGGACACAAGATGTCAGGCAACCAAAATTAAGATAGGGGCTACTGGCCCCCCATTAAAAATAGTCTTGACTGTGATATTTACATATTAATTTGGTGGCGCTATTTAAATATTAATAAGCCGACACTCTTCAATGCGTTGATAGAGTGTTCGGGTTTCACTGGTAGAAAAGGTGGCAACCCTATGTGCCGAGCGAGTGACCCACTGTATTTTCACAGCAGGGGGGAAGTCGCTCAACACATTGGCCATTCAGAAATCACGATCCGCCCATCGCTGAATCAGAGAATAGAAAAACAAAGCGTACAACTCACCCCTGCCATGCATCCTTGTAATCCACATTCGGTGCATGGATGACCCTCTGGAGTGATAGTCCCAAAGACTGTAGAACCAGCACACGTGTGCTGGCTCTACAGTTTTCATATCAGAGAATGCCTTGTAACTATTGATAAAAAATACTCGGTGTTCTCTGAATGCCCGCTGTGCAGAGCGAGCGACCCCCTGTATTTTCACTGGGGAAGTCGATCAGCACAGGGGCAGTACCAGTATCCAGAAGATCGCTGTGCTCCCCTTGAGATGTAAAAGGGGACCTTGCTCTGCATCAGAGCAAACATCGGGGGAACAGGCAGTGGGACAGGTCTTGCTTTTGAACATTTTTTACGTCAATGAAACTGAAGCTGGATAGTGATCATACAATGAGTACACACTAAATATTAAAACAGACAAATTTGGTCACTCACCTTTTTGGAAAATGGATGCCCAGAAGCTGTAAGGTGAGTCCAATGGCCATAAGCACGATGAGGCCAAATCCCATTACTTGTATCCGGCAGACTTGACCTAACCTCATTCTCCTGCAGAGAACAAATGAACACATGTGAGATTTAAAGCCGGCGAGGCTGCACATGCTTCAAATTTCAGCTGAGGTGGAGGCCTAATTACAGGCCCCTCTAGTGATTGGATACTAATGCAGATGTGGCTTCAGCAACCACAGGATTTTACCCCAGAGGCGACAGAGAGATTAATCGGCCTAGTACAGCTGCTTAAACAGAAATGGTTGGTTAGTTATTGGTGTCAAATTTACTTAGAAATGAATGTTGATGTGAAGTTTACATTTTATAATTTTATGTTCTGCTGTGTTCAAATGATTGTGCTTTTATACCTAGTTTAGTGTATCTACTATATAGAATTTCCTCTAGACCAGCCATTCTCAACCAGGGTTTTGTGGTGTCCAAGGGTATCTCCAGAGGTTGCTAGGGGTTCTATGAGCTGTGGCTGATTGACCACCCATTTGATGGTACCTGTTTTGTACAAGTCATTCTGAATTGAGAAAGCTGGTCGGATGGCCAGTGAAACGTCTTCAAGAAAAAATACAGCAAGTCCAGTTGCCTTGACTTATTTTTTACACAGATACTACATAGTTCAGGGTCCAACGGGACTTGGCAGAACCAGCTGCATGACATCAATGACTTTTTTAGTTTGGTGGCATGTTTTGCAAGAGTGGCATTCTGACCACTTCCTGCCAATGTAAGAGGTATTCTTCCCATTTACCCCCAATGTAAGAGGCATTCTTCCCAGTGACCACCATTGTAAGAGGTATTCTTCCTAATGACCACCAATGTAAGAAGCACTCTTCCCAGTGACCACCATTGTAAGAGGCATTCTTCCAGTGACCACCAATGTAAGAGGCATTCTTCCCAGTGACATCCATTGTAAGAGGTATTCTTCCTAATGACCACCAATGTAAGAAGCATTCTTCCCAGTGACCACCATTGTAAGAGGTATTCTTCCCAATTACCACCAATGTAAGGATCATTTTCCCCACTGACCATCAATGTGAGATGCATTCTTCCCAAGTACCACCAATGTAAGAGGCATTATTTCCACTGACCACCAATGTAAGGAGCGTTCTCCTCACTGACCACCAATGTAAGAGGCATTCTTCCCACTGACCACCAATGTAAGAAGCATTCTTCCCACTGACCCCCAATTAATTCACTTCAGTAGGGGTTTCCTGAGACCTGAAAAATATTTCAGGGGTTGCTCAGAGGTAAGAAATGCTGCTGTAGACAGTGCAGTCCACATGCTTACAAGTTGACCCGGTGTGAGTTTGTTCATAGAGGTCTTTCCTTATCATCTCACAACAGTAATACACACTCACTGTGCTGCATCATTTAAACAGTTCTTTTTGTGGACACAAAAAGAAGAAAGGCCGGGAGTGAGGTTGTCATCGTGCCTCTTCCGTGTATAGAGCTGTTTATTTTTACTGATTATGCTAGCCATGCAGACATCATTTTTAGGACAGGAAGAAGAATTATGGCTGTTTTGGAAGAGGCTAGCTCTAGTAAACCACCGCTGCTGCTTTGCAGTCTTCTACATAGATCTCTCTTCACCTCCTCACCCACAGTCTGTGATTGGACAGAGAGGGAGCAGTAGCAAACTGGTAAGCTCATCATAATGCTCCCTGCCTCCCCCCAGCACGTTCTCTGGCAACACATGTGCATGCAGAATACCTGATTTGCCTTAGTGGTGTCGCTCCCTTTCCCAGTCCGAGCTGTGCTTTACATGGCATTACTAGAGGCTGATACCAAGACAGACACAGGGGTAATTGCATTTGCATATTGTTAGAATACACATTACTTTGTTTATAGCAATAACTCCTGCAGTATACAATTTCGGTCACTAGATGGCAGTGTTCTGTCTATGGTATACTGTATACTCTGTTGTATTGTAATAAGGAAAAAAAAAAAGCTGTGGCTTCCATCCTTTGTTTTCAAGTCATGTGCAGCATGCATATGAGACTGTGTGCTTTGTGTTTCTCTGTGAGGCTGTGCAAGAAGTTCCAAAACATATGCAATTAAAACATGTTTAAGCCCTGCTCTGGGCTAAACTTTTTTGTTCAAAAGTGCCCTACAGGAGGTTTCAAAACAAAAAAATGCAGCTCTGGCTGTAATACTCACCTGCTTACTGGTCTTGTTCCCTGTTGTTACCTCTTTCTACCACTAGATGTCCTCGGTCCTCAAGGTTAAATTATGCATATCATTATTCAACCTGAAAGCCTGAGGACATACTGTGAGTGCAGGACCTCACAGACCTGCCCCATGATAGGTTGTCACCAGGGTGTCCTCATTATCTCAGCGCCACTTTGCATCACAAAGAACTCATAGAGAGCACAAAATAAACACTGAGGAGCGGGGGCAGAGCCCAGAGTTGGGCTTCAAAAAAATACAGAACTGCATTTTTTTCCCTATCTGCCTAGAGTTAAAGCTGAACTCTGGGTAAAATCTAAAGTCGCCCTTGCACTGGGGCTCTCCAATATGCTCATCTATATCTAGGAGAACATTAAAAAACAGTTTTACTTACCTTATTCCTTGCTCCCACAGACTTCCTCTCAGGTGCACAATGGGTCCCCCAAAAAGCCGCTCTGTCGGTCGCATGCACTTTGACCAGCAGTCCTGCATTGCAAAGAAGGACGGACAGAGCCTGCCCAAAACCTGAAGCTTCAGAGAGAAGGCGTGAGCGCCAGCTGCCAGCGGGGCAAGGGAGAAGGTAAGTAAAACTGCTTTTTAATGTTCCCCTTGAAATGAGCACTTAAGCCTGGAGCTGTGGGAGAAGCCCCACTGCAAGGGTGACTTAGAATTTTAATTAAAATGTATCTTTAATTTGATAAGTTGTGTGTTCGTTTCGTATGACCTTTAAAACCTGTAATGCTTCACAAATCATGACAATAACACGCATGCAGTAAATTTAGTTGATATGTTCTGTAATACCTTTACAGGTTAAAGTATGATACCAGAAGAGGGGCATACCTCGAAAATCTGGTTCCGGGCTCCCGATGGAATTTGGGATTTGAGCCAGTGATCTGGTTTCTTGCGGGTTAATGTTGAACTATCTCAGACGTGTGATCCTGGGAAACTAGTTTGGATAGGGAACAAGTCTCAGCTTTCTCCGGTCTATTTTAGGCTGCGTGCTCCTGTGTCAGTCCTCCACCGGCTGCATTTCCCATTTTATACATCTATCATCACCCTCATCTCCTGTGCTGTCTTCCTTCCTCCTGTGTCCCATCCCGCTCACAGCCTGAATTCCCTACAACCTCTATTCTATGGCTTTATAACCCAGTCCTAACCCCCAAAGCTGGATAGGTTCTTTGGAGAATAACCAGCTGCAAGCTATGACATTTCAAAACCATTCTGCTAGAATGACTTAATTACGAGGGTGGAGGCTAATATCGACATCTGTAGGATGAGGAGTGAAAATATTTATAAACAGATTATGGGAAGAACCTGTGCTTAACCCATGCAGAGAAAAGCAACTCTTCCCAGCTGCACATACTCACCTTCCCTCCGTCCCATCCTTCTCCGGTCAGCTGCCAGGTATGTGGAGCAAGAGGCTCATGACCCCCTCTCCCGTGTGGCAGCCCTGGTTCTTGGTGATTTGTCACTTGGCCACCCAGCGCTATCACATGGGGTTGGGCAGAGATTCCTCAGTGACAAGGTACAAAAGATAAACAGAACGCAAGATAGAAGACTGGAACAGGATACAAATACAAGACAGGGATTGGATACAAGATAAATACAGGATATGAGATACAAGAAACAAGGCAGGTACAGGATTAAAGAAACAAGGCAAGACTAGGATTCAAGACCAAGACAGGACTACAATACAAGATCAAGACAGAAAGATTCAAGATATAAAAGAGCGGGTAACAGGCTTGTGTAGACAGGACTATACTGAACTATCTCACGCCCAGAGCCATGGGTTTGTGAGGCTTACATAAAGCGTCACTAACCAATCCCCAGGTTGAGGGGTATATGGCCAGTCTCATTAGCCCACTGTTGATGGAGAGGCACTGAAGGTGTATGGCCAGTCTCATTAACCCACAGCTGATGGAGAGGCACTGAAGGTGTATGGCCAGTCTCATTAGCCCACAGCTGATGGAGAGGCACTGAAGGTGTATGGCCAGTCTCATTAGCCCACAGCTGTATGGCCAGTCTCATTAGCCCACAGCTGATGGAGAGGCACCAAAGGTGTATGGCCAGTCTCATTAGCCCACAGCTGATGGAGAGGCACTGAAGGTGTATGGCCAGTCTCATTAGCCCACAGCTGAGAAGAAGACTGGACTAGGCACAGTGGCAACAGGCAACCACTAGAAGGAGCTGGGAGGTTGCGTCAGGCGAATGGGCATTAGACATACTCCTAACATCGGAGCTTACACAGGGTTCTTTAGCTGAACGGAGTAGTGAGTGAATGAAGGAATGGTAAGTATGTGCAGCTGAGGGCCAAGATTAAAGTGAACCTGTTGCTTTGCTCTGCATGGGAAAAGCACAAAGGGGGGAAACTTGCCACAATTAAAGCATACAGAATCAGGAGCAGCTATACAAAGTAACCAATCAGATTCAATCCTTGTTCAGTTAGGCTTTGAAAATGAAAGATCAAAGCTGATTGGTTACAATGCACAGCTGCATCAGATTCTGTCTGCTCCAGTCTTAGCTACCCTGTTTCCCCGAAAATAAGACCTACCCCGAAAATAAGACCTAGTTGTGACCATTCCCAGGGCCGGTGATGGCATAAGGGGGAACTTGAAGTAAGTACCTCATCCCGACACATTATGATCCATCAGGATGACGTGAGTGCAGAGTATGGACGAGCCTCTTGGTGGTAGTTGTACCCAGTAAATGGACAACACCGGTTTGAGGCTTGCAAGCAGTGCTTCCTTTCACATATATGGACAAAGCACAGGATCACAGTAAGGAAGATCTGGATAAGCACTGCCTGTATTTAAAGTGACCACATAACACAACACCAAAACAAATACTTAGCCATAGTTCATGCATGCTGAGGAGGAGCAGTGACC